AAAGCATCCTTTGAAGCTTTGAAGTTAGCCTTTATTTCTACACCAATCTTGTATTACATTGACTTTTCTAAGGTATTTTTTATGGAAACAGATGCATCAAACTTTTCTTTGGGTGTTCTATTATTACAAATGGGAACAGATGATAAACTTCATCAAGTAGCTTTTTATTCCAAATATTTTTCAGTACCCTAGATTATCTATGAAATCTACAACAAAGAGCTTCTTACAAATGTGGATTCATTTCAAGAATGGTGTCATTATTTAGAAGGCACTTCAAATCCAATCATTGTATATATGGACTATAAGAATCTCAAGTATTTTATGTCTACATGTATTTTAAATTATCACCAAGTCCATTGAAGTATGTCTTTATCAAGATTTGATTTCAAGATTACATATTGACCTGAAAAACAACAAGATTTATCAAATGCCCTTTATAAATGTTCTTATCTTAAACCAAAAGAAGAAGATGCATTTTTTGATCAACAAAGAATGATTTTTTTAATACCAGAGCATTTTCATTATCAAATAATAAAATCAACATTGATTGTTGATTCAACCTTTATGTAAAAAATCCAATCAAGTATGTCTTCTAATCCTCTTATTTACAATATCAAAAATCTTTCTTCTAAGTCATAAGATACTTCTAAGTTTGAGTTCAAAAATAATCTACTCTATTTCAAAGGTCGATTATATGTTCCAAAAGAAGAAGTACAATTATGTGTTCTTTAAACATGTGACGACTTTCTAGCAGTAGGAGATTTTAGATACAATAAGACTTTGGAGCTTATATCGAAAGATATTTGGTGGCAACAAATATAGAAGGGTGTGAAAGACTTTCTTCAGTCATGCCACATTTGTTCAAGATCAAAAACTCCTTGTCATCAACATTATAAACTTTAACCATTATCTATTCGAAAACAACCATGATCTACTATTTCTATGGGTTTCATTATGGATCTTTTAATCTCAAGTTCTTGTGACTCTATATTCGTGATAGTAGATCGTTTTACTAAAATGGCACATTTTATACTATATAAAAAATCTATCACATATGAAGAAATAACTAAACTCTTTCTTGACAATATCTATCACTATCATGGATTATCCAAGGATATCATATCCGATACAAAAACTCAATTTATATCAAGATTTTGGCAGATTTTTTTTAAAATTCTAAAAGTGGAAATAAGACTATCTTCGGCATTCCATCTTCAAACTGATGGACAAACAGAGCGTATTAATTAAGTTTTGGAACAGTATTTAAAATGTACCATTAACTACCAATAAGATGATTGGACAACTCTTTTTCCATTGGTTGACTTTATGTATAATAATATAATACATTCTTCTACAAAAAAAATACTTTTTTTTATCAATTATGGTTATCATCCATGACTTGATACTTTTGACTTTTCAAAAGCTAATAATCCTATAATGAAAGATTTAGAAAATCGTTTATCAGAGCTATATGCAATAATGAAGGCACAATTAAAAGAAGTTCAAGAATAACAAAAGATTAATATAAATGTCTATCAAAAGGAACAACTATTATTCCACATGGGTGACAAGGTATGGTTACTTCATTGCAATATCAAGACTACTTGTCTTTGTGACAATTTGGACTATCGTAGGCTTCGACCATTTCCTATTTCTGCACAAATCAATCCAATTGTATATCGTTTACACCTATCGGAGTCAATAAAAATTCATCCAATATTCTACATGTTTCTTTTTGAACCATACAAGATAGTTGTCATACCAAAAAGAAGCCAAGTGCCACCTCTTCCTATAGAAGTAGACAATAATGAAGAATTTGAAATAGAAGAAATCTTAGACTCAAGGCAATGCCAAAATAAGTTAGAATATCTTGTTCATTGGCATGGATATAATATTAGTGAATGCTTGTAGGAGCCAACAAAGAATCTTATAAATGCAAAAAAGAAGGTGGAGGCTTTTCACTGATGACATCCATCAAAATCAAGATAAAGACCTTCTTTATAAAAAAAATAAGATTTAGACAAGATAACATTCTATTTTCAATCCTTGTTTGTAGCTTCTTTGTATTTGTAACACTAAGGAGATTGAGAGCCATCAACTAGTGGATATGACTGAAGAACCTTTGTTTGTTGACCTATCGGATGAGACATTGTAATTATCACAACCTTTAAGACAATACAATCAAAATGAAGATCTTCAAGAACAGCATATTTTTCTTAGAATAGATGGCAAAATATAACGCATTTGGTATCATGACCTTGAAAGAGACTTCTGATGTTTGGTAATTTTATTAGAGGTGGGAACAACTCCTGACGGTGTTCCAAATATTTTATTTGAAGGAAGTTATGAAGGCTTCAACAATGATCAAATAATAAGGTGGTCTTTTTGCCACCTTGTTATTTGATCATGGGATACTATCAATGGTTGAGAGGGCCTATCAGCCATCTTTAAAAAAAACAAAAATCTTAATATTTGGCAAATATAATTTGTTGCATCATAGATTTTCTCAACATATAAAGACTGCTCCTCATGGAACTCATCCATAGAAGAGGGGATAATATCATAGATATATACATGTAAATCAGTAATTACCTATATAAATAGATAGAAATAAGTAGAAATAGATAAAAATAAGTCAATTCTATAATATCTTCTACAATAACTTCTTAGAAGCTTCATAAATACTACTTTGACTTTATAGGTGTCTATAATTGAATTTTTGGATTAGAAACGTAGTCAATAAGTTTGCTATGTACCACATATGTTGTTAGCTTGAAGACCAAGCTAACTATGTGGCCCACACATAGAAAAACTTACCTTGTAATTCAAGGCATGTATCTTGCAAAGTCAATACATACTAGAGACAAGAATGAAGCCCTCTTCAATCTTATCAACTCCTTTCTTATTTCTAGTCCAGTTTCATGAGTCTCAAGTTTTCTTGTCTTTTGGCAATAAGCCATTCTAGTTTCTTTTTACTATATGTACTTCCTTGTTTTTATTTTTTTATTTTTTCTTTGATATAGATTTCATTGATTTATGCATCATTTTCCAGTTCATGTCCTTGATAATAGGTTAAAAACTTGGTCAATAAGTTAGTCACATGTTACATGTGTTGATAGCTTGTAGAACAAAGTAACTACGTAGTGCATATATAAAAAACTTACTTTGTACATTAAAACATGTATTTGATAAAATCAACATGTGTTAGAGATTATATAGAACATTGCCATATAGATCCTAATTAGGTAGTATTTATAGAAAAAAGAGTCAAGCCTTCTTTACTTTTGTCAATACCTTTCTAGTCTTTAGTCTTATTTCAAGACTTTTTAGTCTTTTTATCTTTGGAAATAACCATTCTTATTTAATGTTTATTATCATCTTTAAATTATTTCTTAGTCTTTTTGAATGTTACAAGAGTGTATTGACCAGTTAGTTCTTTGAGGTTTATAACTTAGACAGAGAGACATTTTACTATATATTCTCTTTGTATGCAACCTTACTAATGCTATATGTTGTGACTTCAAAGTTCATTTTTTTTAATAACTATTATTTTAAATAGATGCATATAAATATTTTCTAGTATATTTATAATTTCTTTCGTCTGTTTTAAATATTTGTACATGCTAATGTTATTAATTTTTTTATGCTAAAGAACTTTCCTATTAAATTTATTTTATATATATTTTTATCAAATTTATATCTAAATTTTGGATTCCAATAAGCATAACGGTCTTGAAAGCTTTTTATAGTTTGAAGTGTTGTATGCTACATATTATTATTGAAGGTACTTTATGCTTGCTCCTTCCTCTTTTTTTCTATTATTGATAATAGTAGTGGTAGTAATGGCAAAATTATGCACTATCAAAATATTTTATCTTTGTTAAAGTTATTCTTCATTCTAAAAGCCCACATGCCATAATTTTCTATGCCCATAAGGTGATATATTTCAAAAAGAAGCTAGTCCTTCAAACTATATATATATATATATATATATATATATATATATTAAATATTGGATTTGAAGCCTTCATACAAAGGAGATGACTCTATATTGTATAAGAGGTTGTATTTCTATCCTATCTTGTATTACTTGTGGCTTTTGAATTGAAGTTTGACATAACTAATCATAAAAAATAAGAAGTTGATACTTCAGCTATTTATAGTCTTATAGAGTCATTTTTGCTCTAATACCATGTTGAATCCTTTGGACCAACTAAGTAGAGGGAATAAGACTAATTTGATTTATAAATAAAATGGCTAATAATAAGTATCCTAGTGTGAACCAAGAGTGCTACTAATGAGCGGCTAGGGACTGGATTTTTATATTGTGGAAATGTGGATTAATAAAGATGAACAAAGAGGATGATTAGAGCAATTGCTAATATATATATATATATATATATACATAAATTAAAAGAAACAAATCTATACAACAATAAAAATTCCCAACTATTGATTGACTTTTGTAAACCAACTATGATCCTCAACCTCAAATTTATGCGGAGAGTGGTACCATGGATGATGATCATCGATTCACTTTCATCAACCAACCAATAGCGCTACTGGGAGAGAGGCGATGGATGGATGGTCCTATCCAATGCGATGTGGATGAGAATAGAGGGATTCGAGATTCGTCGTTCATCGACGCGCGACGTGCGAGCCCGCGCCGCGCGAGCGAACGAGCGAGCGGGCAGGAGCGGAGGCGCGGCGGATGAAGGCAGGCAGGCAGGCAGGCAGGCAGGGCGGGGTGGAGTGGGGTGGGATGCGATGAGATGCGATGGGGCGTGAAGAAGAAGGCAGGGGGATGGAGGGAGGATTGGGATGGAGCGTGGTAGGGTGGATGTACCCGAGCAGAGCCGGCAAAGGACATTCGTGCGGGTGCGCAGGGGTTGTGGCTCCCAGGTGAATAATCCCGGCACGGCCGAAACGGACGGCGCGGGGGGAGGCGGGTATGAATTCGTAGCCGCGCGGGTAGCGTCCTCACTGCGCACACGGAGATAGTGGGTGGGTGGGTGGGCGGAACCCAGTGCGGATTGGTTTTCCCTCTCGCTCCAGATCTGGTGGAAACACCATCCTACGCCGAATTTCGAGTTCCGAGTTGGCGCGAGGTCATCGTGGGGGGCTTTGGAGTTGTGCAGATGGGAGGATGCATGTGTTGCTCCCTCCGTCTCCTCCCCAGAGACGAGGCTTCTCGGGTTTTGCTGACGCTAGTTTCGTAGAGGAGGCCCTTGAATCAGGGAGTCGCCTTGGGCTATGAGGGTTGTGGTGCAAGAGCGAATTGATGGATTTCGTGATGCTTTGTCAACAACCATGAAGAGAGGTCCGTGCTTTAGGGGATTTTCTGAACGATGATGGGTTGTGGTGCTAGTCCAGAGTGGGTCACGAATCTTGTGGTTTGATCTTTGCCAGTGGTCGATGGACTTGGTAGCTCAGGATCTTTGTTGTCTGTGGAAGTTTATTCGTGGTTAATGAACCTTGCGCAGCCGCTTGCGATGAGTGCCTCAGTCAGTGCATTTCAGCTTCAATCGTTTCTTGTCCTGGAGTTTTGCCCCACATGAGGTTTAGGATCCATCATGCTTTCTTGAATTCTGCTGGTGTTGTGAGGTTTTGCTGCTAACTCGGGAGGACGAGTTTGCGGTGGCACAGATTTGGACAAGTGATCTCTCGATATGAACTTGCTGCCTATGGGATTTTTGGTGGATAGAAATAGGGCACAATCTGACGGAAGGTCTGTCGAGACTATTCCTGATGGTGACTGGAAGTTCCGAGTCAATTGTGAAGCATGTTATAAGATTTAGAGAAATCCTGGACGTTCAAGATAATATAGAGAATATATTCGTCTATGGTTACTGTGAACGGAGAGAAGTATTGTTCTTTACTAAACTTGGGATCTGATAGCCAGGAATGGCATCTTCCTCGAGTTCTCCGTGCGCCGCATGCAAGTTCCTGAGGAGGAAATGCACTTCGGAATGTGTGTTTGCGCCCTACTTCCCACCCGACCAGCCTCACAAGTTTGCCAATGTCCACAAGATATTTGGAGCTAGTAATATCACAAAGCTCCTGAACGAACTCCCCATGCACCAAAGGGAGGATGCGGTGAATTCTCTTGCATATGAAGCGGACGCGCGTGTGAAAGATCCTGTCTACGGGTGCGTGGGCGCTATATCAGTCTTGCAGAGGCAAGTGGCGCAACTGCAGAATGAACTAGCTATTGCGCATTCAGACTTAGCGAGGTATGCAAGCGCAGGAATGGTTGTTCCATCCGTGGGCCAGGGGGGAGCGTCATCATCTTTAGGAGTAGGAATGAATCTTTCCCGAGGACAGCCGAACCGTGAACAAATGCTCACGAGGGAGCAGTTGATGGACCTTGCCAGAGATCCTTCACATTTGTCTAGAGAGCATCTCATGGAACTGGCTAGAGGTGGAGGAGGATCTTATGAAACCCTTCAAGCCCTTGGTCTTTCTGGAGCCCTAGGACCACTCGGACCATTTCCATCTAATCCTAGACCGGGAGGGGAGAGCGGAAACAGGAGCGGAGGTGAAGGCGGGAATGGAGGTGGGGGTGGCCGTGGCGGTGGGGGTGGAGGTGGAGCTAGCGGCAGCAACACTGGAGGACAAGTGACCTCGCCATGATGGCTATGAATGGGTATAATACTCACGCTTTCATTAAACACTTGATGGCTGATTATTCTACTTCAGACGTTTGAGCATCTCAGATATGTGAAGACGGTCATAGAGATGTCAATCCCTAAATCACCTCACTCTACCCAAGCTTTGAAGTAACAAGCATTCGCATTTGGATGCAGGGTGCTGTGCTGAGAGTGTTTTGAAATGAGTAGAAGCATTAGCCGAGTGTTCCGGGCGAGGGGTTTTGATGTTCCGATGCTCTGGAAGATTCAGAAGGACGTAGCTCAGAGATAAACCGCTCGCGACGAACTTGAGAGCATGCAGTTTTGACGGTGTCGAGTCTTATGGATTTCCTTCAGGGTCTAATAAGGTCTCTTATCCTGTTTGCGCCAAGGTCTGACGAATTCGTTCAGGGGGGTTTGGATATCCCATAGTGGTAAACATTGAGACCTGCCGTATTTAGGAAGTGCTGTTCGAGAACTGCTTTTGAGTAGGTGCAGGTCCATGCTCTCATGCTGAAGGAGCAGCCGCTTCTGATGCCTAGGTGGTTTGCATGCAGTATCCAAGGCTTTTCCAATGTGGCTGGGTTTGCCCTGGTTTGCGAGTATAGAATGTCCTTGATCACATTTAATTCGTGCCTGGAGTGCGCTGATCTCTTAGACACTCAATCCTCGGCACATACCAAAGATAGAGGCTGTTTATACCAGTCAACGAGTTTGAAAACTGTACTGGCTAGCTCGATCTTAAGCAAGATGCTACTCTCTGGACCGGACGGCTCAATTACTCTTCATTAAAAAAGCATCGAATAGCTCGTCGATAATCTCGTTTGCAGGTCATGTAGGGTCGGTTCTTCATCCCTAAAATGTGTATTTGAGTTGGTTCGCTTCGTTGTATTCAGCGAGTCGATGATGGGTGTGGGGATCGAAGTTCCAGTTCGGCTTTTTTCACGTAGTAATTGGAAAAAGGTAGTGTACCGCGATACCAATCGCAGTGTCACTACAAGTTCATTCCCGTGTAATTTTGATACTTGCACTTTCTGGATTGGAGTTTTGTCATGTAGTGAAAAGTGTTCCGATGTTCTTTGGGCCAGTGATCATCAGGGTTCTATCGGACTCATTCAAATGGTGTCCTGATAACTTGTTTCTGAACTTTACGCTTCATAGTGTCTTCCTACACACGTCAATAACCAATCTATATTCCTTTTTCATTTCGCATTGTGACTGGGTTGCTTCCCAAAGGACATATTTATGAGGGTGACATCAGTTTGTGATTCTTTAGCGGGTTAAAGTAGCTCATCTTTGATATTGGACCGAATAAAACGTTCTTGAATCTGGAGTTCCTGGCGATTGCTATCTCAACACTCGGCCGCGGCCGTTTTCTTGATGTGGCGTTTCGAGGAGGTCATCAGTGGTGCATTCCGCGCTTTGATCAGTCAAGGTGTGAATCTAAACCTTCGTCAAGGGCCCCACATAGTTCAGTGGTGATTGCTGTTAAGAACATTTCACTACTCTGGATCAGTGTTTTCCGGATGTACGTGCAGGTACCCTTTTAGTCAAGCATGACAACATAGAGTCTATTAATTTCTGATAAACACCTTTTTGAAATCGTGTCACCTGTCTAGAACTGTCAGCTTGAACTACAGCAGTTTAGTGCGGGTACCTGACTCTTGGAAGGGAAACAGTTGAACATTAAGGTACCAGATATGGAGTTGACCTCCGAGCTGCACTTTGGGTGTGGTCATATTCGGCTTACTATTAAGTTGGCTGAATTCACCGTCGTTTTAACACCGCATGGATGATTGAAGGTTAGTCTCAGATGTCAAACTGAACTGATGTAATCTGTCAAAGTTATCGATACATTGGTTACTACTTATGGAGTTCTGTCTCCAGGTTCTTCGAATGCTCCTGTTTCTCCAGGTATTTGTGTAATTACAAGAGACTTGCGCCTTTCCTATAATTAAGCCACTTGGGTCTTCTGGAGTCGCTTTGTTTTCACGACGATAGACTTAGTGAAGCTCATTCAAAACCTTGTCACAGTGATGCTGACGATACACCTTTCCACAACCTAAAGACAATTTTAGTAGCTTGTTGCCTACCAACGCTCAACATCTTTGATAAAGTATATTTGAAGATGCTACTCTCATTAAGTTTTCCACCTATTATTTCATAAATTTGTATGATAGGACAGTGCATTTGAATCTCAGCAGTTCACAACTTTATTTGAATGCCAGTTGACCAATACACTTATTGTTGCGTTCAACTAGGAGCTGAGGTGAATTCTAGACCAGCGTAGCTCAAATTTCACTCATCCTGTTGGTATTAAAGTTGGTATCAGATCAAGGATGTAGATCTGCAGTGCGCGTAAAAAACTATGTGACTAGCTTTTCCAAAAATAGCGATTAAAATATACCAACCTCTTTCCCCGAACGTTTTGATCTAGGGGTTGAATTAAATTCACTGACACTTCAATGAAAACGTCTTCGTCAAGGATGGAACGAGAGCTTCTGGATGGAGATCCTGCAATGCTTAACCAACTTTGCTAATTTCAGTCTATGCGATGTTTATTTCAATGCATCGTATTGCGATATGCCTAATAACCCACCCCAACATCAAAGTCCTGTGAGAATGAAGGGTTTAGTGCTCATCGCTCTATGCAACTGCAAAAGATCTATGGATCTCCAACCGCTCAAGCTCGGACTATTTTCGACACAATCTCGTGGGAACGATGTCTTCGGTTTTCGCAGATGTGGCTTTTATTGGTTTCCCTTGAACCCTGATGCGTGGAGCGATTAGTGTTTGTCAAGATGAGGCGATTACTTTGTTCTGCGTGGAGCTTATTGTTTTTCATAGGTAACCACTATGTTTTGCCTCTAACTTCTAGAAGAATTCCTAATTTATCCTTCAGGTGTCCTGTTTGAAGTTCATACTTGAACCATGAATTTTTTTGACAACGCATGGTATTGCGCGCACTCAACCTTCGAGAACTCTTGAAATGTGCACCTGACTGATCTTGATTTATAAAGCCGGTGGTACTGTAAGCTTGCATTTCTACTTAAAATAATCTAGAGTAAAATTACTGCGGCACAATGCAGGTGTAGAGTAAAAAGTAAGACGATAACAAGAGACCTGGTAAAGGCGGAGATGGTAAAATGCCCTCTGTGTTATGTTGCTGTCATGGATGCTGTAAGTTCTGTTGTTGCTTACTGTGGTTACAGTTTCAACCAGATCGCATGAATGTTCACATCATCATCATCTAAGTGCTTGTAGAGGTGCGTTTCTTGTTGTGATTCTATTTTAATTTTAGTAGTTACCCATCCTAACGAAACTTTGTACGTACCAGCGGCTACGCTTCAATCACCTCATAATATTTCTATTTTGTTAGATTGGTACCGATTTCAATATTTTGTGGGAAACTGCCTATGAATATTCTTTTGGAGCATCGAGGAAACGCCAACCGTTGGGCACATGACAAAATACTTGGATGAACGAGAGGAAAATACTTCTGACAAAAAGACATGGTTGAGTTGATTCTTCCAGCTCATATTATTAGAACGGTTCCAGTGCACGTAGAATTTGGCTCTTTCAGCCACTAGGTTTTCACATACAAACTGATCGATACTTACTGTTTACAGTCATAAATGCTGCCATTGAGTGAAAGGTTACCGGGACTGAGGCGGAATACTGCGGACAACAGTCCTTAGGAATACTATTCAAATGTCCTTTCTGGTTTGCTTTCAAGGTTTCTGTAGAACAGAAGGGGTTGATTCTTCGTAGATGAGAGGGGTGTACTAATTCAGAGGAACCTTGACTGCTACAGCGATGATTAATGGAACCTGAAGAACTAAATGTTATCCTTTCGATTGATGCTTGAGCTTTGTCGAATGGTCTCACTTCGTCTACGTAATTTTTTTCACAACTTGTGGAGAATTTTAGATGAGTGTTATGTAGAACCTTCATGAGAAGATTGAATGGAGACTACTATACACCTGTCACTGTCACAGATCAATATATTTTAAATTTTTCACTCACAGCTACCATTTGTTTATCTATTGTGAAGTTGAAGTCTAGTCTAGCTTCCAGATGCTGGTATATTCATCATTGATTACACGTTTTAATGTAGGATTCAACTTTGGTTTTCACCATCAGAAACATGACGTGCTACTTCTCTCAATTTCGGCACCGGAGCTTTCTATTACTCGCTGCCGAATCTGACACGAATATAGTGTGGGGTGATCATGTCTATCGCTATTATTGCTCACCATTGCTGGCATGTTACACGCTTGTAACGTTGGCCTGCAGCCTATCATGGAGACCACTCCCTGCACAGCATGTTAGCTGGGGCTCAATAATGCCGGAAGCACATTCTCAAACTCGCAACACGACATGATCGTTGATATACATCCTCAGGATCAGCGATGTTCATTTTAAGTGACTGAAACATCAAACTAAAACTCATTCTAAGCAGTAATCGGTTCACGCAATCTGACGCCGAATCGCTCATCGGAACAGTGAAGTGTACGAGTCTAAAATTCCACAGAATCTTCGAGATTAGTCGATCCGTGCAGGCAGATCACCAACTCACCGTGTTTCACCGACACACTTCTCCGGAGCTCATGACCCTGTAGACAAAACCTCTCTTCATCTTTTGCGGATTCGAACAACAATTTCACAAAGGTTTACGGTTTGGTTCCAGGGCTCTGTCTAAACATACGATTAATTTGACTTTAATGGAGTTTGTATTTGTGATGACTCTTCAATTTTCTTGCAACGGTCGCCAAAACTGCAAAACCCACGTTTGCTGTTGTTTCTGGTTGATGATGAATTAATTTTGAGGTTTTATGGTTTTGGGGTAGAGTGTAACAAATGATTTTGTGGCCATAATTTGGTTTTTTTTGTTGGTGGATTTTTGTGTACGTATGACACTTGAGTAAAATATTGGATTTTTTTGTACGTATGATATCGAAGGTGATAAAAGGATATTGAGATGTTTTTCTTAAAATTTAATTCTACTTACAGGACCTTATTTTTAGCCTCATCAGTGATTATGTTGATTTAGGAAATCACCAATGACTTTTGAAAAACAAAACAGAACACATTTTGATGCATTTGCATAAGTTGAATTTGCGTCTGAGTTTATTTGGTTGAAATTCAGTGCAAAAATCTTTGACAAAATATTGTTGTGTGGTTTGTGAGATTTTTTCATATCCTTCATATAATTATTGTATCTTCTCAAAGAAATGTTTTGAAAATGAATACGCCTGATTGAAATTAAAATGATTAATATGATTATAAAATTTGCACAATTGATATGAACGTGTGTACTCAATATACTGTGGAGTAAAACTTAAATTTGATAAATTAATAGTTACTACATTTCATTGATAATGAATTTAAAAACGTAGGCTAAAATAAGCATAAAACAAAAACAAAATCATCAATACATATTGTAATTGTATTCACCTGTGGACACAACTTTTTCAAAAACATTTTTGGACATCATGGAGTACGTCTGTTAGTGAATAACTCATTGATTCTTAGTTGTGTACCAAATCTTTGTTACAAGAAGCTTCCGAAATACATGCGTGATTCAATTTCAAATTTGTACATATAATATTAGAATACTCTACAGCATTGAACCATCCATAGGAATTATTGGCATTACCATTTCAGAGGGTTGCCTTATCAATAATTTCGCATGATTTTTTCTCCCTTACAAAACTGTTGTAAAACTGAATGACTTCTTTCATGCATTTTGCGACAGTGATTAACCCATCAACCACTTAAACTGTATAGCATACTATGAAAACAGTTCTTGCTCACAATACAACTTCACTAATGTTGCATCAAGGTGTAATATTTGTCTCTGTGGTAGCTCAAATTCAGTGCAACATTAGCATGTCCACACCTCTGCCACATCCATCAGCATGGTGTTGGAGTTGATTTCTTCCCACTTCGAAGGATCAAAGAGATAAATTTTCCAACTGCGAATGTGATGCACAGCACACCAAAGCGTGACGATTAAGAAATACGTTATATAGAAGAGTACATCCCTCGTCCGAAAATCTCAGACTTGCGAGCTCATTTCACCCACATAGACTGGCAAAGAGGATGCAGCGTTGGCAGCAAGCAAAGCCTCAGGCCGAAGCCCTCCATCCCAAGAAGCCACCGAACTCACATCACCATTTTGCTAGTCATCTCACTGACAGTCACGCAAAATACATGCAGGTCGACATGAAAAGCAGCATATGAGGCCCTCGAATCTTTAAATAAGTGTTCTTACTTGCAACCAGATCATCGCCTGGCACAACTGAAAATGGACCCGCATGCAGTGCACTGGTCCGGCTTCCCCAAATATCTCGAGGTTCACTTATCACTCACCATCAAGTCTGCATTCTCGAGGAATGCATGGGTACATTTCAACACGAATTAGGTGCAAAAGAAGCATATGGATCGACACTGCAACTTATCCTAATAATTTCCGTCAAAAAATATTGGAAAGTTTACAAAATAGGCATCCCATGCGACATTACAGAGCTACTCAATCTAGCTCAATGATTTTCACCACTGACGAGTCTCCAACTTTCTGGCATACAACAATTCTATCATGGGCCTTGACAATGCCTGCAGCCTTGCCGTGGTCCAGCGCTACCTGCAAGATGTGCAACAAACTTGAGTCAACATTTACTCCTGCTGTGTGTTTTGGTTCTAAATTCGGCCCAAACGCCAATGATCTAACAGACTCCCATGCACTACAGTATACGGTACCCATGGTCTACCAAACCCTTCGGGACAAATACAAACTGTAGCAAAACGGACTTCTGCTTCCAAAGCTCCACCTCTGCAAAATAAGATGAACAAACAAGCAACACACAGTACAAAGGGAGCCAGGAAGAGGGGAGAGAGTTCACCTTCAAAATGGACTCATTCGTTGTGCTGGCGGAATCGGATGAGTGGCGGGGGTCGGCCAACATTGGGAACAAGCCTCGAACCGCCAGGCATTGTCGAGCCTGGAACGCGCCTGTAAAGCTCCACTTCAAATGGTTGGTGGTGAGTCTGGGAATCACAACGCACAGCACGGGCATCGTGGGACGGTATTTGGCAATCAGACGTGCACAACGTCCTGAGGAGGTGAACACCACGATCACAGAAGCCCTAACTTTCGTCGCAGCTCGCACAGCAGACGACGCAATCGATTCCAGATGCTGCATGGGCTCCTTCACGCCTTTGATGGTTCTCTTGAAGTACACTGCCTGGTTGAATACCTTTTCCGCCTCCGCACAAATCTTGTGGACGGTGGAAATGCTCTCCTCGGGGTACAGCCCTCTCAAAGTCTCCGCCCCCAGCATGATGCCGTCAGTCCCGTCCAGCACGGCATTGGCCACATCCGTAGCTTCAGCTCGAGTAGGGCGGGGACTGTCCACCATGGAATCCACCACACGCGTCACAATGGATGCTTTGCCTGCAGCATTGCACTTCTGCAGCGCCACCTTCTGGAACAAAAACACCTTTTCAGGCGGTAGATCAATCCCCAAGTTGCCGCGGGACAAAATGATACCATCGGCTTCCTTCAGGATGTCGTCGAAATGCGCCAAACCTTCGTAATTCTCAATCTTCGCGAAGATCTGCGTCTGGCGGAGATCCCCAAGCTTGCTCAAGTGCTCGCGGCAAGCGCGCACGTCGTCAGCGTGCCGGGTGTACGACAACGACACGAAATCAATCTGGTTCTTCACGCCCCAAGTGGCCATGGTCTTCAAATCGGCCTCGCTGAGAGTGGGCAAGTCGATGCGTACCTGCGACACATGAGCTGTGAACATGTTTCCAGCCAGAGTGGCCGTGTTCTTCACAGTACACACCACATCCTTACCCTTGGTTTCCACGACCTCCAACCACACGGACGTCGTCTCGCTCCCCGTGAACAAATACTGCCCCACGAAGATGGTGTCCCCCTTCTTGACCGCGGACGCCAGCCCATCGTAATTCAATGGCAAAACGGTCGCGGAGGCCTTCACAGTCCTATCTGCCGCCAGCAACACACTAGCCCCCTCCACAAGTTCAATCACACCCTCATCACTGTTCAACACGCAAAGCTCCGGCCCAACGGTGTCGAGCATCACGGCACACAGCCGGCGCGTGTTCTTCACAGCCTTCTTCAGATTCTCCAGCGTCTCCTGGTGGTACGCATCATCCCCCCAGGAGAAATCGAACCGGGCTACAGTCATCCCAGCCTTCAGCAGAGCCTCAATAGTCTCCACATCGCGCGACTGCGGACCTAGCGTGCCGATAATCTTCGTCAATGCAGAGAACGCCGTGGGCGACGACGGTTCCAGAATGGAGGCCAGCCTGATTGGCTCCTCCAGCAACAACTGCGTGGCCTGCATGGCTATCAACCTTCGCTTCCAAGCCTGCTCAACGCTGTCTCTCCCGCACCCACAACCCTAATTCACAACTGCACAACTAGCACCTAGAAAACTGAACAAAACTATCAAGTACTGCTGCAAAACGTGAGTTTGAAGGGGTGTGTTGATGAGAGGTGCGGAGACGCAATGTGTGCGAGGTGGGTTTGGCGAGGGGTCACTGGGGCCAGCACGCTCCGGGTTGGTCCATCACCCCTAAAGCGGCGCTTTTGACTCCAGACCTTGTGTTCAGCCCAGCCCCTCGTCCGATTTCTTTTGGCTTGGGCTTAGGCTTTCTTTCGCGTTCCCTTTCTTCTTTTGCGTCGCCACCCTCTTGCGCAGGTGCAACGAATGTTGTGATTATCCCCCTCCCCCGCTTGCTATGGAACTGTGTCCGTTGTGCTATTTGTGGGAAGATTCTGTGCTTTCTTGGGTTGTGGTGGTGGAATTTTGTGCCCTTTTCTGCCTCCACTTGGGCTTTTAGTGCCGCTCCGACTCGGCATCAGCCCAAGTGATTCCCTGTATAGATGAATGTTTTCATGGATCAATCAATGAATGCATGGCTGGATAGATAGATGGATGGATCAGAATACCTTTTTTATTTTTATTTTGTTTTGGTATTTTTATGTCCGTGATTGTCGCCTGGTTTCGCATCCATCCATTTACTCATTAGAAATGGCAGGCTGGTCTTAGAAATGTCAAGGTCTCTCTCTACATGTGTACTTGGTAATATGTGTTTTTAAGAAACTATGTTATTGTTGAGAGCATTAAATGTAGTCGACACTCTCCATAATATTTATTGTAGTCTACAGTAAATACTATAGCTACAGTATTTGGAATGTAGTGGAGATGAACTATTTATCCTCTCTCCTCCTCTTGTATATGAGATACAACCACATCAATAGATTTGTGTGTGAAGCTCTCTCTCTCTCCTTGGAAACTCTCTTGTATGTGTGTGTATTACTTACTACTACTCTTGTATCTTTCTAAACATTCTCAACATGTTATCAACACAACTCTCTTCTACACACTATCATAATTTATTTATTTTTACTCTAGTCTTGACTCTTCAAACCTATTGCTACTCCTGCTCCCTATGTGACTCATGATCTTGCTGCACTTCTTATTGGCCCCCCATACATTAGCTACTTGTTTAGAGTACTTGCTCCACTCTATGCCCTACTTACTTAAAATACTTGCTTTAGGCCTGCCTCCCTGCTGTGCCTCGTGCTTGCCACCAAACAGCCACCATTGCTTGTTGTTGACCCTGTCGCTAGTATTGCCTTGTCGTCGCTGTTGACCGCCAATTGCCGCCAAATAGCTGCTGATTGCCGCCGTTGCCTTCTTGTTGCTATGCTGCCACGATCCACAACCTCATTCAAAAAGATTAATTAATTAATTAATTAATTAATATTTTTGATTTCAAGTTTAATTTTATCATTTTATTTGATTTTATATTTTAAGATACATTTTATTCAATTTTTCTACCTAATCTTGTATTTTTTTTTATAGATTTATTTATAATGAGTGCTTCAACATCTTCAACTGCTTCTAGTATGGTTCCAACTACTACTAGTGCATCTCAATATTTTCAAGTTCTTTTATTTCCACCATTGACTGTGGATGGAAATAGTTATCTATTGTGGACAAAAATGGCAAAAGCAAATTTATTTGCAGAACAACTCTTGCTTGCTATTATGTTTGAAGAATCTCTTACAATAAGTATTTATATTCTTCTTGCTATCCATTGGAAAGCACTTCTTCTTCTTTGTCGTCATCTTGTACTTGCATTACAAGATCAATATTTAAAAATGGAAGATCTTGCAGAACTTTGGAAGAATCTTAACTCCGAGTTTGATCATCAAAAGACCATTTTCCTTCCACATGCATGTCATAATTGGACACATTTATGTATCTTAGATTTTCCAAATTTAAATGCTTTCAATAGTAAAATATATAGTATTATCTCACAATTATGATTATGTGGATAAAACATCTTTGAAGAAAAAATGATTGAAAAAAATCTCTCTACATTTCCTCATGTATCTGCTGTGCTTGTACAACAATATAAGAACATGAAATTTCAGAGTCATTTTGATCTCATGTCTTATTTACTTCTTGGGGAGAAGCAAAATGAGCTACTCTTGTGCAATGCAGACACTCGTCCTATTGGAACCACAATTCCAGAATCTCATACACTTAATATTTCAAAGTCTAAGAAAAAATTATATAAACATAGAAAACGTGCTCATAAGCATCAAGTCAATCATAATCATGACCATTTCTATCCATATAGAGAGAATAAACATTCTACTATTAATTATAGTAGAAAAAAAAAATCAAAGATGCATTCTTATAATAAATGTGGAATGATTAGACATTTAGCACATATGTACCATACTTTAGAATATTTTATTAAAATATTTCAAAAAAATAAGATACTATGAGCTGACGCTCATGAAGTTCATACCATGGATGCATCCATGGATTCAATTGGTGTTGATGATTTAGAGGCTTATATGAATGATAAAACCTCTAATAATGAATCAAATGATATGCTCATTGATTCTACAATAACACATATTATCCTACGAGATAGATGATTTTTTATTGAAAAAATCTTCAACTTAGCAAACTAAAAATATGATGACCATAGCTAGAGCAAATGAATTTTGTTACCAAGAGGGCACACCAATGGTAAAATTACCTATGGGTTCCATCATAAAATGTAAACATACAATGTTTGCACCCTCAGTACCTTGGAGTCTGATTAGCTACAAAGATGTGTATATTAATGGTTATCACCTCTCGATCGCCATTTTAAATAGAAAAGAGATTTTGGTTCTTAGAAAGAATCATAAAATTTTTGAAAAAGCTTTTGCTACAAAAAATGGTTTATATCAAATTGTAATTCGGCCTCTTATTATATTTAATTTTGTATCATCTATTAAAGAGAGTCATATTTCTCTCTGGCATGGATGATTGGGACATCGATGATTTATATTATTTAGAAAGATCATTCTATATATAACTAAGCATAATTTAAAACTTGTAAATGTAGACCCTATGGAATTATGTCATGTATGTATGCAAGGTAAGATGATTACTCAGCCTTCAATTTAGAAACTCCTACAAGAACTACCACCAATGCTTGAAAGTTTGTATGGTGGTATTTGTCGTCTTATTAATCCAATATCGTGACCATTTTGTTATTTTTTGGTCCTTGTTGATGCATCAATTAAACAATCACATGTTTCATTATTATCAACTTGAAACATGGTGTTTGCCAATCTTATATCTATGCTTATTCATTTTTGAGTACATTTTCCTGATTATCGTATAAAAATATTGCATATGGATAATGTAAAAGAATTTGTATAAAAGTTTTTTGAAAACTATTGTATTGCAACAAGAATTGAGTTGACATATTGTGTTCCATATGAACATGCTCAAAATATACTTGCAAAGTTATTTATAAAGCATATATAATTCATTATTTGGCCACTTCTCCTTCACGCAAATTTACCTGCATTTATGTGGGATCATGCAATTTTACATGCTACAGCATTAATATATCTCTGTCCTTCTTTTGAAATTGTTTCACTACATGAGCTCATTTTGGATCGTGTTTTAAATGTATCTCACTTACGAGTATTTGGTTGCCATACTTCGGTTCTAGTACCAAAAACTCAACATCGTACCATTGGAGATCATCGACAAAAAGGCATATATGTTGGTTTTGATTCACTAAGCATTATTTGTATTTTTCATCCATCAACTAATACATTATTATGTGCACATTTGTAAAATTGCCATTTTGAAGAGAATATATTTCTATCTCTTCAAAGAGGAGTATCCAATCAATAAAGAAATAAAATACTTGTATTTGAAGCATCAAAAATATTGATAACGAATTCTGATCTTAGGACATCTTTGGCTGAAACTGAAGTTGCTAAGATTTTGCATCTAAAATGGATTGCAGGTGAAACACTTGATGGCTTCAATGATGTACCTAGAATTACAAGAGTTCCTATTAATAAGGCTCAAAATGCACATGCTCAGATTGTAGTGCTACTGACTACAATACCTTAAGTTATAACAACAACAACTAAAAAAACTCATGGACTAGATATCCAAACACGTAAGATGAAAGGTATAATATTGACTAATCTTGGTATTATTTTTCAAGAAATTTCCACTCTTCTAGTGGGACCACCAATTTATGATGATATATCTATGCATAATGTACCTTCAATTCATGTGAAAAACAATCTTAGAATTAGAAGAAATAAGAATAAGTTGAATAAAAAATTATATATTCTGTATTGTGCTACTAACGATATTTGGGACAGACCATCTATTACGATAGATGAATCATTTTTATGTATGATTATAGAAGCCCTTTCTTATAAGGAAGACGATCTTGAACCTCAAACCATTGAAGAAGCAATGCGTCCCTCTAATTCATCAAAATAGAAAAATGCTATTAAAGAAGAGTATACATCTTTGTATAAAAAGAAAGTCTTTGGTCTAATAGTAGATACTCTTACATCGCACCTTGTAGGATATAAGATGGTATTAATATGCAAGCGACATGCTCAAGGTCAAATAACGTGCTATTAAGCTTGTCTTGTTGTTCAAAGATTTACTCAATAATTTGGCATTAATTATGAATCCACATATTCTCTAGTAATGGATTCAATTATATTTTGATATATTATTGGAATGGTAGTTTATGCCACACTTGAAATACATTTGATGGATGTGGTAACTACATATTTATATAGTTCTCTTGATACAAATATTTATATGAAAGTTCCATGTGGCTTAGAAATATGAACTCCAAATGGACTTGCTCTAGGACAATATCATGGTATTAAATTATATAAGGCCTTGTATGGTTTAAAACAATCCAAATGTATGTGGTGTCAATGTCTTTGAGATTATTTAATTACACATAAGTTTGTGAGTAATCCACTAATCCCTTGTTTATTTATCAAACAAAATAAAATTATTTTGTAATCATCAATGTATATATTGCTGATCTTAATCTGGTGGACACTAAATCTACATGTGTTATAGCCACTAACTTACTTATATGTGAATTTGAGATGAAAATGCTAGAAAAAATAACTTTCAACATTAGTCTTCAGATTATACATCTCAAAGATGGTAGCATTTTTCTCTATCAACTAATGTATATTAGATGAATCTTGTAGAGATTCAATATGATTGATGC